CGCAAAGTTCTTTCAGCCGCAAAATCTCCCGCTCAAACTTCGTGGCAATAGCCCCGCTTAGTGTTCGCGCTTTGAATGTTCCTGGCACAACAAGTCCGTTCTACAGCCTTCTTGTCCCTGTTACTTTAACAGAAACCTCATTATCGTCGTAAGCTCTCAGAAATGTATAGATAAGGTAAGACAGTTCCATTGGCATATGTCCTACAAGCTCGCTGTTGCTATATTTTTTGACACTAGAGATTGTAAGCCATTAAAAAAATACCGTAATACTCAATACTCGTATTCCTCTTGTGCACTTTATTATTTTTTTTTCCTTGGGGGGGAGGAGGGGGGGTGGGCGCTTATTCGAGGCTGGGTGCTTATTAACTTTTTCTACCCCCAGGGTGGGCGCTTATTCGAGATTGGGCGCTTAATCGAATAAATACGGTGCCGGTATAAGCTTCCAAACAAGCTTCCAAATACGTCCCAATTTTATATTCATCATGTTGTTTGGCTTCCTTGCGATTATCCTCGCAAAGTTGGAGTCCACACAGATTTATAAATTTTATGACCTCGTATAACTGATGTGAATTGCACTTCAAACAGAAAGTTCCATTTCAGATAATGAAAACTTGAGCGAACCATGGCTTTGAATTCACATTGAAAGCTCTGGCACTAAAAGCGAGCTGTTCAGTTTGCTAAGCTACAGCGGAAGGCACACGTGTTTCCCGTTACGTACCAGGAGCTCTTTGACTATCGTTCTTGCTCATAATTACCTTATTGAAGACTTGTGGGATCTAGAACCTTCATGCATTCATGTGATGTGTAAACTGACAGATCAGATATTTGATTCCAAGATGTTTAAAAAGATATAAATCACACAAGTCACGTTTTCATCTTCCCTTTGATCTGAAAGCAGGGAGTCTGATGCATCTCAGTCTCATGTCGGCAAAAAAGTAAGTTCGTACTCGACCGAATATAAATTAGAAGGTATCAAGTTTGCCGAAGAAAGTAAAAGCATCTCTAGCGCTGCAAAAAAGTTCAATGTAGACTGTAAGAGAATTCGTGAATGGTGAAAATTTAATAAGCGCCCACCTCGTTAAGCGCCCACCCTAAAAGTCCATAAATTAAATAAGCACCCTGGGCGCTTAATCGAATAAATACGGTAGCTGTATTCAATGAAGTTTTAAATACTCATGGATGGATGAGGAGCAGCGGACCTGAAAACATGAAAAGTTCAACGAACTGAAAGTACACAGAAACTGATTATTATCTTCGCTTTTGCGAGTGACGAAGCGATTTGATAAGAAGTCTGAAAACAAAGGGATGTTGATTTTCTGAAACCCCAATTTTACATGAATTTTGAACTCTATTTTGTTGTCATTCGAATAGTCTTAAAAACAGCTAAGCAAATATAAGTTAGCGGTACTGGGCTTTAGTTTCCACTGGCGGCATAACTATCATAGTCATAAAACCATCGGGAACACATCCGAGGCATGAAAAAGCACCTCAGTTACTCAAGATCTAGCCGAGAATTTCACCAGCTGCAGATTACTGGTATCGAAAATAATGGCCAAAATGTAGGGAATGAATATGTCCGTACGACGGCTTCGACCTACGCTTGATTTCCTCTCCCAGAATCATTATTATACAGGTAATCATAGTCATAACAAAATTTTAGGTTATTTTCTTAGAATATGGTCAGCCCGTATCGTGTCTTGGTGTTCTTACCACATGAAATAAACACCCTATAGAATTATGATATGATCGTTATGTCGTTAACAGATCCAGCTTTAACAAAATAATGAAAAGCGTATTAACCAGGATTGAAACGTCAGTTGACCTCTCCTGCCGAAAACAAAAATAATATTATCTCATTTCAAAATGTCCTCAGCATTCAAAAATTGTCATGGTATACACATAGATCATATGCATGAAGCTCAGTTCTAAATCGAAGCCGGCACAACGGAGTCGTGGCTGCTATAGTTATCCTCGCTTTGAAAGAAGGTTTTGAATAGCATAGAGGGCAGGAAAAAAGAACCCTCTGAGTACATATTTCCTCTCATTTTGAACAGTCAGAAGCAGAAAGTTATTGGCATAAAAATTAAAATTTGCAGCTATGGTTTCGATCTTCATGAAACATTCAAATGTGAAGGAAGGGTACAAAGGCATAATTGGCAAACAAAAACCACTGACGAGTTATGTCGAAAGTTATATTTATTTTCCTCCTTCCATCGTTGATTGAATGGTATTCATGTGTTTGGTTAATATTTCCACTTTTTCAGCAATTTTAGCTCTGTCAATGAAAACAATAGAGGTTTTATATCGGATATTTTAAATGATGATGAACGCCTGCTGTGAGCTTTAGAGTGGAGATCAACTCTGAGTGATTTTGTGATGACGCAAAATGAAGAAACAAATCCGGAGATAATCTTACATTTAGCAAATAAAGGACAAGAAAGAAGTGCGAATTAAGACGATTTGAGGGAGATTTTCGCAGTTTACAGCCAAGGAAATTGTTATTATGGAAGGACTCGCACAAAATTACCATTATAACACAATGGCAGGTGTGATTGAGTGTTTTGAAAACAGTCAATCACACCTGTCATTGTGTTTTTCCTATTGTATTTCTTTTAAAATGCAGAGGATTTCGATTGAATCAGTTTCCTGCGTGGTAAATAAAGAATGTCTAGAGCAGGGCCATGTAGAAGTCGGCAGTTTTTTTTTTTTTAATGTTGTGTCTTTTTTCGAGAGTTAACCTCACCATCCTTTAAAAATGCTTTATTAAAAAACATTGACAAAGATAAGCGAATTTTTCATAAATATTAAAAAGAGTACGTCAGATTAATTGACTTTTTGGACCAGCTTGTAAAACGCATCAGCTTAAAAAGAATAATATCGTAGTCTCGTACCGAAATCTATTTTTAAGTTGAGTTTAAGGAGAGCAGTTAATAAAACTACTGTGGTGCGCCCGTTTACGTGAGTTTTGCGATCTTTTTAATCCAGGATTATAATTAACATAACTGTTTTAAGCTCTGCCCAGGATGAATATTGTGGTGTTAATTTCCTTTTACTATCTCGGCTGTTTTCATATTTTCTGTTGGCAAATTTTTTAATAGGCATCAACTTCGCAACGGACACTCGATTGGACAAGGGAGCTTTAGTGATTAGATCCCTTAAGTAAAACGATTCGAATGAGTTTCTTCTTCAAGTAATTCAGGCAAGTTTTTCAATGACTGTCCATTCTTATCCTGGGAAGAGAATTTTTTTCCAAATATTTAATGCAAACGATGTCATATTCATCAGGAGGATGTCAAGACCGACCATTGTTGTAATAGAACACTCGTCAGTTCGTGTACTTACCAAGTAACCAACGTACATTGATCACAATAGGGACAGGAGAGAAGGATTTTCAGCCCTGTTACACTCGATGTTTGGAAATATTGCATCGGTAAAACTGTTCTTGGTGTTGCGCGATCAAATAGATATCCAAGTTTGGCTTTAAGGAAAGGTGTTGCAAGCTAAGAAATACTAGCCAGCTTCAAAACAATTTGCCTCTCATGTGACCACGTGATTCATTAGTCATCCTCAGCCATATTTATCATCAAATCAAGAGTTTCTACCTAAAAGCTTGAGCAGTGTCCGTTGGTGTTAATCATGAACGGGACTGCCGAATCACATCACGATGAACACGTACATTTTGAAGGAATTCCAACAGCATCAGTCGCGCTTTTGGCAGGAATTTGTAGCGCTTTGCTTGGCTTCTTTTCATTCGCAACAAACAGTGTTCTTCTATGGACTCTGTTCAAAGATCCGTACATGTATTTCCGAGTGCGCCCCACAACTTTTTTCGTGGCAAGCCTCTCGTTAAGTGATTTACTTGGAGGAAGTGTCGTGCAACCTTTGTACTCAACATACATGCTTTGCCATCCATGTGGAGTGAATTTACCAAACCTACACAAGATTTCTACTGTTTCTTCTCATATTAGCACCAAAATATCAATTTCAACGGTCGTGGCGTTATCAGTGGATAGATTTCTTGCTATAAAGCTTATTTGGAAGTATAGGGCGCTTATAACAGTGCGAAAGGTCGTCACATGTAACATTTTGATATGGCTCTTTTGTGGGCTGTTTGAAGCATGGCACTCAATGAGTACATCAGATAAAATATTCCACACAGTGGATCTTCATCTTCAGTGTACGGCTCCACTGACAATACTTTGCGTCATCAACGCAGCGACTTACATTGAATTCCGCCGATATTCAAGAAACGTCACTTTCATGCAACATGATAATGGAGGAAGATCGCGCGTTTTTGCTCGGAACATCCGTCTGGAAAAAAAGATCGTTTTGACAATTATCCTGATCACAATCGTGTTGTTTTTATCAATTATACCCTACCTAATTGTTACTAACTTGGAGGAGCGGTGTCTCGAGGAACAAAGCAATGTG